CCTGCTTTTCATTCCACCAGGTTTTCACAGCTATGAAGAGGTACTGAAATACACAACTCCTAGAGTAAGGCAGAGAAGTGATTGCAGTAAAAAGTTTCTGGCAAGAGAAAACTGAGACATGCAGAAGCTAATTCCTCTCCCAGGAGAAATCCCTGGTGGCTTGGAGGCCACCACTGCTGCTGCAATGCACCTTTTAAGCCACAACAGTCACTCAGCTGATCACCTCGAGCACAGCATTCTTCTCTCTGGGTTTAAAACAACCTTCTTGACACTTCCATGTCCTTCCATCATGATCTAACCTGCTGCTCCATTACTACTGACACTCTGAGAACAGGAGCAGGTCACCCCAGTGATTTCCATTTTGGCTAAGCTGGCACTTGGCAAAGGTGAGGTGTCCAGGCACAGAGCAGCAGTGTGTGCATAGCACTTATCCAAAGGGTGGCACATCATGCTGCTTCCATGCAATTCCTGCTCCTTTTGACCCCTGGAGCCATGAACTCATTCAAGAACAGGAAAAGCAGCACAAGTGGCTACAGCCATTGCAGGTGTCAGCCACCCTTTTCCTCCTTTTCATGCCACACCCACAGTGCCTCCATGGATAACCTGGCAATAGCAGCTTCCCAGAGGGAGCCTAGGAGCCTCCTGAATCCCTAAGTGAGCAACAGGCAGCTGCTTTTTATGCTACATCTTGAGACTGACAGTATGTGAGAACCACCTCCAGACACTGCAGGTACCACCCACCAAAGCTGGCAGTCCATTGAGGTACTGTCTGCTCTGTACCGAGACCAGGAGCAAAGATTTAATTATCCACCCCAAAGGCCAGACAGCCAAATCTTTAGATTTTAATTCAATAGCCTCAGCTATTAGCAGGAAAGCTATTTTGGCTCAATCAATCAGATTGCTCTCTGGGTACTCCTGCTGTACATGTTCCCTCTAAAGAGAGAGGCAGTTAAAGGAAAGATATGCCCAAAGGTTCACATGAAATCTCTATCTAGTAGCTTGGTCTTTATGGGCAGGAATCTCCAAAAGAGGAACAAGGCAAGTAAACTTGGTGTTTAAGTCTATTGGTTCCTTCTCCCTTTTTTTTTTTTTTTTGATTAATCTCTGTGAAAGGGGAAGCCATATAAGATTTAACCCAAATCAATTCCTTCCTAAAGCTCTTAATAAAGTCACTGTCCTGTAACACTTGTTAGTCAGAGCATACTCAGAACTATCTGTTCCCACTGTAGGAAAGTGGGCAGAGTAGGGTAGGACTCCTGTTTTTTCAGTCTGTTTTAAGGGCAGAGGCCATGGTGGTGTCTATATTGCACCCAAAGAGCAAGGCAAGCACTGGAAAGCCTTGAATGCAGCACCACAAATCCCCCCTCAGACACTTTGTTGCTGGGCATGTGACTCATGATGCACCTCCAGCCCTGCTCAGGGCTGCAGGGAAATGAGACATCAGTGACTGGAGACTGTACTCAGTGCTGTATTGCTCTGCTCAGTTTCACAGCACCCAGAGAATGCTAGATGAGATGCTGAAGTCTGAGTAAGAATCCACACAGTGGCACTTCTGTTATTGTATTACCCCATGTTTGCAATTTATCCACCCACAGGTCTCCAGTAAAATAACAATTGCCTGTACCCTAGGGACTGCCAGCACAGAGGGCAAATGTTTTAGTGCCCAAGAATGTAAATTTATGTTTGTAGGACAAGTATATTGCCCAGAGACCAAGCAGCCTCCTAAAGGTTACCCTAATTATTCATGTCATCTTCAGATTTAAAATCCAGAGAGAAGTTCACACTTCAAGACTGAATCAAGTTTTAGAAGCCAAGCACAGCCTTTCAGATTTGCATATCTAAAACAAAACTGTCTATAACCATGTAAACCAGCTTGGTTTTTTTTTCTTTGTTATTTTAAAACTCGACCTATCCCAGGCCACTTTTAAAGCAAAGGAAGATTGAAGCCCATGCCTGGACCTGTTAATATCTGGACTCTGATCACAACAAACTCTGCAAACACAGCTCATTTCTAAGGGCAAGGGAGCTGACCCAGTTTGCCTGCAAGGGCATTCTTTGGTAGCTGTTTGCCTGACATCTACCAAACTTGCCCTAATCAAGATGCTCCCACACAGAAAGGACATTAGAGATCTGTCTAGACAGCATGAAATCTGTTCAATTTAATTGTGTTCAGTACCCAGTGTTCCCTCTAGATCAGAGCAAGTTTGTGGTGACCAAACAACCACGTCTTCATATGAAATATTGACTCATTTTATACAGATTACTTATGGTTCTTGGCTGGACCCTGCCACTCTAACACGTCAGGTGATAAAGGGAAGGTGGAGGAAACATTCACCATGAGAATTTATGAAAAAAAGCTCAGGAAGCTGATACTTACATGGAGTTAAACATTCCCATCAAGGCAGTGAAGCAGAAGCCAATGGCAAACATGGATTTCATCCGAACCTGCAAGCAGAAAGGTCAGAGATAACCAAAACAAGAGGCTTACACAGAGGTGTTATGAGCTCACATCCTTACAAACAGGCTTTGTACAGATCACTCAAATCTACAAGGTAAAAAGATGACCCAGAAGGCAGAGGGATGGCAAAAGTGACTGAGAACTCCCAAAGAGAAGTTTGGTCAACAGCTGGGTCCACAGACAGCCACAGAGTGGGACACTGATGTGAACAGTTGCTTTGGGGGACAAAACCAAGAACTGCTCAAGAATTGTCCTGTTACCTTCCACAGGTTGGGGTTTTTTTTACTTAAGCCTAACAACCAATCAGCAGGGGATCATTACAATTACTGAAGTTACAAGAAGTCAGACAAATTAATTCTACTTTGAAAACATCCTGGAGACCTATAAAGATGAAAATAGCGAAGGTTTGGCAGGAGATGAGGCACTAACTGCTGGAGAACTCTGCAGCTCACACTAAAATCTGTAGCTATTACAGAAAATCCAGAAGGACCTTTCAGGAGGAAAAGCAGCTATGTCTGCCAACTGAACAAAGTCTTTCTGCTGGAAAACTAACTGAAATCTTCAGCAGTTGGGAATGGCCTTTAATTTTCATACCATTGACAAGTCCCTGTTGTTATTCTTCAGCTTCTCTTCTTGTCTCTCTGGAAAGACAAAAACAACAGTCATAATCAGTTATGTCAACCTAGAAACCAGAGTGTTTTCATTTCCAGGAAGACTTAACCTTTTTGGCTCTCCAAACAAATACCACTTCCAAAATCAACTCCAGCTCCCTCTGCCAGACAGTAGAAAGTGAAAAACTGTACGTAGCCAATGGTTTCTCCACCACAGCAACAGGCAGCAAGGCAGGCACAAAAAGAGGAGGCGGCTGGAATCACACATTCAGCACTTTTGAAAGAAATGCACCCAATGTCAGATTTGCTAACTCAACCAACTGACACAGTGGCATGAACACTGCTGCCAGAAAACAGAGACAGTGCCCCTATATCACAGCTCCCAAAAAGAGCAGTCTCAACTCGCTGCACTGCATTGTAAATATGTTGTGTAAGTAAGGATTTCATTTTGGAGGTGTCAGAAGGGACTTTGAAACCAAAGACAGAGCCAAGAGCTGCACTGAGTAATGCCAACATCCTGCTGGTCTTACTAATGAATTCTGGACCCTTGTCACACCTAGGAGCTTCTCCACAGCGGAATGATACTTCCTACAAGAAATTCAGTAATGTGTGTATTACTGTGCTTTGCACAAAATGCTTTGGAAATTCAGCCTGTCCTTAAATCAGATTTGCACATCTGATTCAAGATCCTCAGAGACCCAAGAGGGCATTTCCCACACCCCTCACTGGAGGACTGCTCTGGCCTTGAGCATTATCCACTCACTACCTGTCACCTTTCTTATTTCACATCCCTATCATCTCTTGTGCTCCTCTTTTAGTACACTCTTTGCTATTTTCAATCACTCCTAACTCCAAACCATCCCCTCTGGCAGGAACTTTCCAGACACCTGCTTCCTGACCCAGGTGGAGAGTTTTTGTTCTGGGACATTTCAGCAACCTCAGGCCAGCTCTTCAGGAATCACATTTGGCACAAATACTTGTTTTTTCCCCTCTGCTCCATAACTAACCATCTCTTTAGGTAGGCTAAAGGTTACAAAGGAAAACGTATACAGATCCCCCAATATACCTGACCTGTCTCTCACCTACTGCTACAAATTCAGAACAAACAGGCTCTGGGGCTCCTACCACCTTACATGTCCCTGCCCAAGTCATACACAAACAGTCTGTTAAGTACTTTGCTGGGTAAAGGCACACAGCAAGAGAATTGGGCCAACAAGCAGCACCCTGGAGTCCAAAATCTTCTTATTCTGCTCTTTAGAACACAAATCATGAGGATGCAGGGAGACAGATTTGCCAGGATTGGGGTTTTTTTCTTTTGTTTTAGGTTTGCTGTCCATGCAGCACTCATGTGGGTTCCTGGGAATGTCACTGTCTTTTCTTCCATGGATGCAGAAAGCAGCAGCAAAGTTTAAGCTAACAAATGAACTCCTCAAGGTGCAATGACAGGAATCTGCACCACGATGCTAAAGGTGTCCTGTTCCAGCAGTGCCAAAGGTGATTGAGACACACTGTGACTGAAGTTGGGTCATTTTACACTTCAAAATAAAGTTTCATAAGTAGGAAGCACCAAATCAAGCCTTCCCAGGCAACTTTCACCCTACCTCCCTGTGCATATGCATGATTCATCCCTTATGAAACCAAGTAATATCATCCACACACCTCCTGTCTCATTCTGTGCACGGAACAGATGGCAACTGAGGCAGGTCTGTACCACAGCTGTTACTTATCCATAAAGCCTCAGCTCAATATTTATCTTGCGTTAACTAAAATGGTAGAATTTTAGAGGATCTGCAGCCCAAGCAAATTTGCTGTTACAACAATGCCACATCTTGCAGCATGCTTTGACATCCAGTAAATTACTGAGATCACAGATTTCGAAAACAGTTAACAGCTGTGAGTCACTTTCTGGAAGTCCAGCTTGACATTTAAGCCCTGATTTTTCTGAAACACCAAGAATTCATCTTTGCCTGAAAACAGATGAGACACTGAAGTTATGCAGCACTTGGAAAAATAAAAATAATAATAAAAAAAAAAGTCAGTCTTGGTATCTTAGGCTTGGCCAGAAAGCATCACAGCAAACAAAATCAGTGGTCATTTCCTAAGTTCTGATCTTAGTCCCTTTGTGCTTTGTTTTGCATGTGCAAAACAAGATTATTGCAGTGCATAAAAAAACTGGTGGAGCATCTGAATTCCTCAGATTCTACTGTTTATTAGTTTAGCCCAAGCACAAGTAAAATACTGTCTGCTGGGAACATAGCTTGGATGGTGCCCTGCAAAAAAAAGCCACTGTCACACTTCTGAATGTTAGGAGCAGTTGTCACATATGGTCACTTTCAAAGTTGCCTTATCCACAGAGCAGTGCTCATCCCACACAGGGATTATTCAAGATTAAGAACTGAAATGCACAAGAGGAAACATTTTGGCTCCTGTCCCTTCAGGAATCTAACGATAACAGGTTTTATACCTAGGAAGGACTGTTTGAAGATGTGTTTATAATTCCCAAGCTTTGTACAGATCAAATGACTAATCCAGCTACCTGGTGTTACAGAGGAATGAGGAAACCAACTCCCAGGAGCTCTCAGAAGTGTTCCTGCCACGATTTCTGTAATAACTTAACTGAGCTTTGCTGCACGTTTCGAGTCCTGCAGATAACAGAACCTTCTAGAGCTCACATCCATTGAACATCTATTTTTACCTTGTTCTTGCTTAGCTCAGTACTCAAAGAGTTACCTTTACCCAGAGAGACCACGAAGAAGGGAAAATAAGTCACTGCCTAAAATTGAGCAAAGCTAATTTATCAAATGTGACATAAATCTAAGCACAGTGAGAGTTAACAGAAACACCTTCAGCTCTGAAGTGCTCAAATGAGAAACAAAAGATCCAAAAATCAGGATCACAGAGTCACATGGCTATTGCAAGCTGCCAGTGCCTTGCAGAAAGAGCTTTGACAACAGAAGGGAGTAACAGCCATGGATACCAAGACTCAAGTGGGAGGGGAAGGCAACGAGTTGAGCAAGAGGTGCTGCTCCTCTCAGTGATCTGACCTGCATTTCATCAAACCCATCAGGAGCCTGGATATCTCCTGCCTTGGAATATTAGGCAAATAAATAAACAGTTTTGAAGGGAAGGAAAGCATAACCACTTCCATAAGTTTCTCAACTTCCCCCACTCTTGAGGCACCAGTCTTACCTATCTTCTTTTTCTGCTGTCGACCTGCAGATTCAGTTATCGTTTCCTTCTTCTTTTCCACTGCCAAAGGAAAAGACATTCCATCAGTTCTGCACAGGGATACCACCACTCCTTTTCCACACAAACAAAACATTATATTCCTTTAGAAAGAGGAGCACAAAAAGCAGCTAAGAACACATTCAGTATCGATAAGTTACCAACTCTAAAAGCTGATTGCAACAATCACTTTTAAATGATAGCAAAAAAGTCAAACCCCTTGGACAAGATAATAACCTAAGTTACCAACTCGAAAAGCTGATTGCAACAACCACTTTTAAATGATAGCAAAAGAGTCAAACCCCTTGGACAAGATAATAACATATTAAAAGGGTTAACTTTGAACTCTGTCAAGAGCCCATTACATTGTGGACTGAGCAGTCTGGGGACAATTTTGGCTCAAATGACCCTTGCTGATTTGTCATTAGTACTAGACAGTACTTTTGATTCAGCAAGTGTAATGAAAAGAGCTTTGTGGCAAGCTCTGCTCACGATTATCTGCAGTGGGAAGCAGAATACAGGAAAGCCTGTGTTCTCATACATCCCTTCTTCACAGGCAGGAATTCTCAGGGGAAACACTGCCCAAGCACTCAGCCACAGCCTCTTCATTCTTCAATTAATTAGCACTGAAGCATTTTCAATATTTTAAAGCACCAGCCTAAGTTCAAACTTACTAAACCAGACACTCATCAAGCATCTGCAACCAATGACCTCTGCAGCAAACAAGGCTAACACAGAGCCAGCAAATGGGCTGCTCATCTACAAATGTTCTCCTGTGGCAGCAAAAAGGGCTTTCCAAGGAAGTCAACAGACACTTTAAGACCTGTAACAAGAGTACTGCAAGAAGCAAGGATGACAAAGCATGACCTTGGTCTAAAAACAGATAACAGCCCATTTTCATTTTACACTCCTTGTACCATATCTCCTGCACCAACAGACAGACTTGGCTCACTGTTAGCTCACAGAGGCCTGAGCATTAGGACTCTTCTCCCATATGAAGTACCAGCTCAACACCTTCCAGCCCTGATTTCAAAGCACAGAGGAAATAAAGCCATCCAGCCTTCCAAGCCACACCAGGATTTGTAGTGCTGCCTTCTGGAATGCCTGTCACATGTGAGTCAGTCACAACTGCTAAGAAAACCACACCAGCCCAGACAAGTTACCTAAACATTCTCTCTTCCATGGCAATGCAGTGAGACACAATTGCTTTTCCAAAGAACAAGTGTATCTCCAATGGGCGGGCTAGAACAAGGGGAAAAAAGGGAGCTCATGTCCCGAGGGAACACTTGGAGAGAGGTGCCAGATGACACAACACACCCAGTGCTCACAGAACTCTGTGTCCCTGTAACCTTCCTTATACCAAATACAGCTGAGGGATCCTGATCAGTTCATCCCTATCCTGCTCCACATAATCCCATGGGCCCCAGCTCTAAACTCTAGACAGTGCTACTAAGCCTTATGCCAACTTCAGAAACTTTACAGCCCCTTATAGTTCCAGCAGAACTAATAACAGTCAAGCAGTCTCCAAAGTCTGTCCATGGGAACACATGTGGCAACACAGCAGAAATTCCATGGATCACCTTCAGCCTTGCAAATTTAGCCCAGGACACTTACTGCAATGTCTGCATCAGCCTCAGACAATGCTGTGCCTCTCCATTGGAACGAGAGGACAGGAAGAGATGAAACCAAGGAGGAACAATGTCTGCTCAAGCACACTACTCAGCCCATTTGTTTTTGCAAACCCTAAGGATCACTAGAAGTCCCATGAGAGAGCTTAAAGATCTCAAATGTGTTTTTTCCTGTTTCAGATGTGTTAGATAACAGTTGAAAGGTGTGGCTCAAGTGGTCCACTTGGCAAGTTGTAAGCCATCAGGTCAGCCAGCTGTCTTCAACACAGGAGAGGAAGGGAGGAAAAAAAAAAAAGCAAAGTTGAATTTTTAGTGACTCTTTATTCAGCTTTACTTATTTCTCTTTGTTGGGGTGGGGAATCAAATGAGATCATCAGAAACTAATCGAGATGCATGAAACTCATATCTTTCCCTTCACAGACTATAGCCTTAGATACCAGGAGAGCTATAAAGACAAACAGCACTAAACTCTTACAGCAAGCATTAAGCCTCAGAGATTAAGCCCTGCTAGCTGCTTTCAGAGTTTAACAGCACAAACACACTAAATTTTCAGCTGGGTTTCAACTGCTTCCCTCACTTTTCCTTCTGGGGCTAATTCTATCCTACACGTATAGGACAAACGTGATTAAAGTGAGGCAGGCAGAGATGTCATCCCCATCTGATACTGCTGTGGTGACAACAGCCCCTCAAGTAGGAGCTGTGACACAACCATGGCTACACCTCAGCTCCTCTCAGTTCATTTTGCCCAGGGGAAGGCTGGAATAAGCTGGACTGGTAAGAGCAGTATTTGATCATATTGTTCTTTCATCTCATGAAGAGCACTGACATCATGGTGAAGTATTTTAAGGTAAAACCAGCTCTGTTTTGGCCCCAGTTGTTGTGTGCTGTCTTTTCCTTTCCTCCCTCATCCTTTGTTCAACCCCTTCCAGGCCTCTCAGATCTCCTCCCTATGGAATGAACCTGGGCCTTTTTCCTAACCAGTTCTATTTCCCTCCAGTTTACATTAGTATAATTTATTTTTAGATCAGCTGATAGCTCATACCTTTCTATCATGGCTTTGTCTTTACTCATCCCCTACTATTAATCATGACTTTTAATCTTCAAACATAATGCTTTCCTCTCCTGGTGATTCACTATTCAACCCTAATTCTTTCTTACTACAGACCTCAAATTCTCCACTGCCACTGAAAGGCAGAAATTGCATCTTTTAACTAGTTCCAGGCATCTAAATGAGTCTATAGATATGAACATTGGCTACTCCTGTCTAGAAAAAAAAGCTGCCAGGACTGATCTTTTACTTCCTCCTGCCCTCCAGTAACAGGAGGGGCAATTCAGACAAGGAACAGGTCTTTGTGCTGAGCTCCCTCCAGCAAAAGGCAAGAGTGAAGCACAGAAATAAGGCTCCTCACTGCAGAGTTCTGCCACTTGTGCAATATGGCACCTGTAAAATCCAAGCTGAAGAAAGTTCTCACCCTCTGCAGGAGTTTCTCAGAGCACAGACATTACTCAATTTGACACTTGCCAGAGCAGGATGTAACAGGAGCAGCAGGACACATTCTCTAATGTCTGATGAGTACTTACATTTCTTGCTCTGCTTTTCCACTTCAGCCTTTAACCTCTTATACTTGTCTGTTCGGTAAACCAACACCCAAGTAATACCTGAAACAAACACTCAGCAAGTAACTGGGTAAGCAAAGACCTCTGCAGTAACAGTGACACAAGTGAGTAAACACACATGCAAAGATTAAACATTCTGTCTACAAAACCACATCATAACACAGCACAAAGCATCAGTAGTGGGTATCATCCCTTTCCTTCCAACCCCCTTCTCAAGTTCCATGGAAAATGGAATTATGAAATAAACTATAAAATGAACTATACATATAAAACTAAAAAAACCACTTTGTAGTTTTTACTTCTATGTATGAATTATATATAAAATAAATATCTGAAAAAGTGATCAGCTTCAGTTCCTTCATGCTCCTATTCACCAGGTGTTGCTCACCTTAAAATCAGAGGATGATTAAGGCAAAAAAAACCCTGTATTCTACACATCAAAGAATCATAGAATTTTAGGAGTTAGAATGGACCTTAGAGATTATCCAGGCCCAACCCCCTGCCCTGGGCAGGGACACCTCCCACCAGACCAGTTTGTTCAAGGCTTCATCCAATCTGGCTTTGAACACTGCCAGGGTTGGGGCACTTACTACCTCCATGGGCAACCTGATGATCTGTAAGATCCATTGCAACCCCTAATATTCTATGATTCTGTGATTCCATATTAGGCTAGAAGAGACCTTGAGAGACCCTCCAATCTTTGCACTTAATGATGAAAACAAGTTGTGCCACAAGTGCAGAACCACTGTTTTGTGAGAGTTCAGTTTCAGCTCCTATGAAAAGCTCTTGGGCCTTTTGTTTTTTGGCTCTGGCTTCTGCTGCTGAGTCCCTGGAACCACCAGCTGCATAGAGGGAACCCTGTAAGCACTTCTGAGATCAACACAGCCTCATGCTGTGAAGGTGATGGATGTGTTACACCACCTAACCCCAAAGGCCATGGGATAAGGCTCTTAAAATATAAGTGTCATATTCCCCTGGGGACTTTCCCTGACCTGGAATGCACAAAGATGGTGTCTTGCAGCTCTGGGACAAAGATTTGGGGATACAGGGGGTAAAGGGGATTTAGGGATACTGCTCAGTGTCTCTGATTTGTCACTGCTCCAAAAAGTACCTATCTAAGCCATCCTTAAAAAGCTGCACCTGTGCAACCATTTGAAAATAAAAAGCCTTTTCAAGCAGCCTAAGCCACCATCAGTGGTGGTTTAAAAGATTTTAAAAGCAAAGTTTGTCCCTTAGACTTCAAACTGGCCCAAAACTTCCTCTGGCCACAAAGTAAGCTTACTTACTGCATCTTTTGTCTTCTCCTCCAACTATCCCATAGATTTCGTGGCTGCTCTGCTCCCTATTCCCAGTAATGAAGGTAAAAACGAGTGCAGGTCCCAGAGTACAGACTGGGAGCAGCAATGGCTTGGGATCACCATCCCTGGTGGCTTAAGGGCGTTCAATTCAGGCAATTTCTTCACACCTTTCTCACAACAGCTACGGAAACCACTGTGTCCTGTTCCATACACGCTGGATAGTGCCAGCACAGCCTCTTGCAGGGAACGACCGTAATCTCCACCGCTCCGTGCCTCAGGCCAGCGCTGCTCAAGGCTCACTCCCCCTGTGTAAGGGTCAGGCGGCCCCGAGTCCCTGCGCCTCGCTTGACTCCGCCACACTCCGGCCCT